CAATTAAAAAAAACAATTTGAATTTTTGGATTTTTTTTTTGAAAAATTTTTGAAGCAAAAAAAAGATTTTTAAATTTTCCCTGTTTTTAAGGGAAAAAAACTTTTTTTATAAACAAAAATTTCTTCATGTCTGTTAATTTAAAGGTTTTTTTTTTAAAAAATTTTTCAATTTAATTTAAAAAAAAACCACAAACTTAAATTTTAAAAAAGACTTTAAAAATTTAAAGGGGCTTTCTTTTTCGGAAAATTAAAAAAAAAAAAATTTTCAGTATTTTGTGCTTGGGGGGGCCATTGTTTTCTTTTATTTAAAAACAAATTTTAACTTAAAAAAAAAAACTTTTTTTTCCCAAACAGAAAGGGGAAAACCAAAAAAAATTGTTTTTGAAAGGGAATTTTTTTTTTAACAAGTTTCAAAATTTTAAAGTTTTTTAAAAATTTTTGCCTTTTAAAAAAAAAAAAAAAAAAAAAAAAAAAACCAAAAGGCCTTCATGGAAAAAAAAAAAAACCCCCATGAAGCTTTGGCAACCCCTTAAGTTGGGGTTTTTTTCCGAAAAAACCCCCAGGTTGGGGGGGCACCCCACAACTTTTTAAAAGGGAAAAACAAGTTTTCATTTTAACAGTATTTCATTCCAAAAATTAATAAAACCACCATAAAAAAGGGAGGAAAAAAAAACATTGCATAAAAAATTGCTACTAAAAAACTAAATTTTTTTTTAGGGGTTTTTTTCTTTACCAAGCTTAATAAAAGTTTTAACAAAAAAAAAAAACTTGAAAAAAAAAAAAGAGAAAGTCAAAAAAAAAAGGCAACTTGCTTTTCTTTTTTTCAAAAACCTCTTCTTTGGCCAAATCAAAATCCCCACTTGAAATCTCTTTTGGGTAAATCGATTCGGAGAAGTGGCCCCGAACCAGTTTCAACGCTCGCAGGGAACCCGGGGCTTGTTTTTAAGCTTTTTTTTTTTTTGCCTTGTTGACGGAACCAGGTTTTTGAAAGCCTCCTCCTTCCAAAAAAGTTTGGCAAACCCAAAAAAAAAGTTTTTTTTCAAGGGTGGTTTTCGCTTTTTGGAAAAAAGTTTTTGGGGTTGGTTAACAAAAAATTTGAATTTTAAATTATGAAAAACCACTGGGGTCCCCTGGCAGGGGTTGATTGGTCCAATTTCATTTGGAAAACGGCCGGGGAATCCGGGCCTTTTCTTTGAAGCCGGTAACAAGGATTTGAGGGCTTGGAACGGGGACAAAAAAGCTTTGGAAAAGGGAAAGTTTGGTTGCCCTTTTTTAAAAAAAATGGGGCTTCGGGGCAAAACTTGTTTCGTTGGCGAAAATTGGGTTTTTTTGCCTCGATTTTGACAAAGGGCTCTTTTTGTTTGTTTCTCGAACAGGATTTTGTTCGATAATGATTTGATTTTGAACCTTCGCCCTGGCTGGTCCCAAAAAGCAGGAATGGCTTTATTTGTTCTTGGGCTTGTTTCCCCCACCAAAAACGTCCCACAAGTTTTTTGGCAGGGAAAAAGTTATTTTTTTTTAAAGGAATGGGATTTTTTTCCTGCTCCAAAAAGGGGAGCGGGGACCTTCCACCAAAAAAAACAAATCCGATTTTGCTTCCTTTAAAAAAAATCGTTGTGGGAGTTGGGGGAAAAAAAAAAAACAAAACCCAAGTTCTAAGGGCTCCAACGCAAACCAAAACCCAAGGGAAAAAACTAAAAAAAATTTTTTGGGGACAAATTTTTCTGAAAAAAAAAAAAAAACTTTGGGCCAAAAAAAAAAACTGCCTTTTCAAGGAAAAAAAATGTTTGGGGGAAACACCTTTTAAATAATTTGTAAATAATTGAATTGTTTAACTTATTTTGGAAAAAAAGGTTTGAAAAGAAGGGTGGCCCCACCTTTTATAATCAAAAGCTGAATTTAACTTTATTTTGGTGGGTTCCCCACAATTTTTAAAAAAAAAAAAGGGAATTAATTGAATTGTTTGCAAAAAAAAAAAAACAAAAAAACCCCAAAAAAAAATAATTTTCAAAAAAAATTCCAGGCAAAGTTTCCAAGGTTTTAAACCAAAAAAAAAAAAAAAAAATTTCACTTATCAAAAAAATTTTCAAAATTTTTTTTTACCCCCAAAAAAATTTTAAAAGTTGGTTAAAAAAAAAAAAAAAGCTTGCAAGGGATCCAAAAAACTGGGGGGGGCTGTTTTTGTGGGCCCATTTGAAAACTTCAAAAAAAAAAAAATTGAGTTTTTGAATAATCCCTTTTGCCAGGAAATGAAACTTTTTTTAAAAAAAGCTTGTTTAAGGCTAAAAAAAAAAAAAAAAAAAAAAAAAAAAAAAAACAAACAAAAAAAAATTTTAAAAAAACTTTTCAAAAAGGACCAAAAAGGACTTTTGAGGGTTTTTTTTTTTGTATTGGTTTCTCCTTATGCAGTAAAGGGCTAAAAAACCTGTTTTTTAAACCCCTGTTTTTTTAACTTATTGTTGCGCTTAAAAAAAAAGCTAAAAAGGGCTAAAAAAAAAACCCAGTTTTTTTTTTTTTTTCTTTTTTGGAACCCTCTCTTTCTTTTACTGGGAAGGGATTTTAAAAAAAAAAGGGTTTACTTTACTCAAATTCTTCATTTCTAACACATTTTAATTTTGTTTTTTTAAAAAGCAAATTTTTGGAAAAACCAGTTGAAAAAAAAACGGTTTTAGTTTTAACGGTATTCTGTAATTTTTAAAGGGCCTATTTAAAAATTTTGTTTGGCCGTTTTTTTTTAACCCATTTTCTTTTCAGGTTGCATTCCAAAGTTTTGGTTTTTTTTTTGTTTTTTGGGCAGTTTGGAACCTCAAGGGTTTGTTGGTCTTGCGGCTTTTTGGGGAAAAGGGGGGAACCGTTTTTCTTCAAGTTTTTCGGAGGTCCAACAAAACGTTTTTTTTTTTTTTGGGAAAAAGGTTTTTTGGGAAAAAGGGGCTTTCCCTTTTTGAAAAATATTTTTTTTGTTTTTTTGTTTTTAATTTAATGTTTCTTGCAAAATTTTTCATATGAAAAGTTTTGGAAAAAACAAAAAAACAATATTTTACCAAAACAAAAAAGGAACTTTAATTATAAAACTTTAATTGGAAAAGGTTTTTTTTTTTTTTTTTGGCCAACCTAAAGGGGGGGGGCTTCCAATTTTTGTTCATTTTTTAACAAAAAAAACCTTTCTTTCAAACAGGAAAAAAAAAAAATTTATTTTTCGGAAACAAAAAGAAAAATGAAAAAAAAAAAAAAAAAAAAAAAACAAAAAAAATTTCAAGAAAAAACCTTTCTGTTGGGGCTTTTTTTTTGCAGGGATTTTAAAAAAAAAAAAAGCTTGTGGGTTTTTTCCTCTTTTTTTTTTAAAAAAAGTTTCAAAAAACTAAAAAAAGAAAGGCTGGCTCCCAAAAGGCCATAGTTTAAAAAAAAAAAAAGTCAAATTTTCCCCTTTCCCAAATTAAAAAGGGCCCCCCCATAATTAAAAAAATTTTTTTAAAAAAAAAAACCCCCCAATGGGATTTTGGGGGGGGGAAAAAAAATTTTTTTTTACCCCACAAACTTTTTACCCCCCCTTTTTAAAAAAAAAAAATTTAAATTTTTTATTAAAGGGGCGGGTTGGGGGGGTTTTTTTTTGCTTTGGAAAAAAAGTTTGGGGGAAAAAACAAAAAGGGTTTGGGGGGGGATTTTTGGGCTTTTTTGGGTTTCCCCACAAAGGGGCCAGGAAAAAAAGGTTTTCCAAATGATTAACCAGTTTTATTCAAGTTCATTGATCACTATTTAGTTGTTACAGTTGCTATTTTTTGTTGGTGCAACATTAAAATGGCTGCATTCATGTAAAGATCAGTTCTAATATTCCAATGATGGTTTATATAACAATATACCCTCTAAAAAGGGACTATACTATACTTTTACTTCATTATTTACTTTAATAGTAAATAATTAAAGTAATTTTGCTGTTAAACCTCAGTGGTAACATTACTGTAATAAATATCATTAGTATGTTTCATAATGTTATAATCAACTGAAAAAAAAATCATGTACATATACGTTTAGAATTAGATGTTATCTTTAATTGGAGAGTCCTCTCTACGATTCCGCCGTGGAGACCGCCATGTTTTACATAGCCCAAACGAACAAACCAAATACTGGATTTAGATAGGGGTATGAGCAAGAAAACTCCCAAAAAAACGGTGACAGGATTCCTCCTCAATGTTACACACTGGACCTTAAAGTGAAATCTGGAATGTAGTACTTCTACTTTAATGCTTTAAGTACATTCTTAATGTACTTTTACAGAGTATGTTCAGTTGTTACCCCTGCTCATGTGCACCACCTCACATGGGCCTTTTACCTTTGATGTAAAGGAGATAAATAACTGCTCCTCCACTTCCTCCAGGTTAGGCTGCATGCTAGTGTAGGCGGAATCATCCATCTTCTGATCCGTATTGGTGTTAGCAAGCTTTCGCCGCCGGGACTTCTTCCTGTGCTTGCAGGGTTTGGTGTCTGGGATTGGTTGCACCTGCTGAGAGATCTCATGTGCGTTTGCTTCTACTGCACTCGGAGGAGGGCATGGAACAGCCATTGTCTCTGTGTTTGAAAAGTCCACCCCCATACCGAGGTCATCGTCCGTAGAGAAAAAATGCACAAGTTCAGCAATTGAAGGTGTCGGTGACAATCCGTCTCCATCTAATGATGAAAAAGTTGGAGACAGTGGCAGCTGAAGTGCTAGGGGGGACAGTTCTGCAGGGAAGGGCAGTGACTGTTCGTTCTCTTGAAATGATGGAGCAGGATCAGGGGGAGGCGTGGACGTGGAGGTGTCAAAAGTCTGTGGTTCAGGGAGGGTGGGAGTCTGGGAAGGCAACAAAGGAAGAGTCTGTGGTGTGGGCTGAAAAGTTGTGAATGTAGTGCCTATGTACGGCTCAGGAGGAGGTAACACTGTATGCCATTTAAACACAGATGCAGTAGAGTCTTCACTGTTTGTCAACTCTTCAGGAGGAACTGCATTTGGAGTTGGCTCAGAAGTAGTGGAGTCAAGTTGTAAAGTTATCAAGGCAGGTAGGGAGGGTAAAGGTTCTGGAGAGCTTGCAGGTGACAAAGACTCAAAGCCAAAAGAAGAAGAACACTCTGGGTCGGATAGCAAAGATTCAGACTTTGTAGTGGGGGAGTCTGAAGGTAGTGTGGAAGACTCTGC